GTGGATTTGTCTCAACCTGTCATTATTTCGACCGCGCATTCGCCTCACGCATAGGCCTGGCCGGTCAATTGAGGATCCATCGTATAGCGGCTGGCGGACTAATGCCAGGAGCCCTGACATGCACTCGTCATACCCGCCTACATTGTCCGCACTGTTCGGGCATATTCACCCATCGCATGAACTTATTCGGTCACATTCGTATCCGCAGCAGCGGTATTCACTGCAGTATCGACACATGAAGCACGCCTTGCACACCCGACACATATTCTACTGTTAAAGCAGCCACCTCCCATCCACTAGCAGCATCGCATAGCATTAATTCTGCAGGTCCCAACCTATCCTGCCCACACTGTCACCACTCATCGACCTGGTTGGCCACTTGCGAATCCATTGCTCAGAAACTGACGAGGTCGTGTCTTGAGCACCAGCATACACACGTTGTCATCTCTTCAACTGCCCACACTGCGTCCCCGCATTCAGTAATCGCATGTGCTTACTCGGCCACACACACCTTTACGACAATCTATTGTAAAACACTGTAGGATACACTCCATCATCACACATTTCCCAATCAGCACATAAACACGTCTGACATCACGTACAACAGGTACGAACTAGGTACCACTCACGTAAGTGCTACATACGAGATCCTAACAGTCTGTCCGCAACGTGAAATCCTAGTGCGCGCGTGTGGGGCCAGGTCGTGTGCGTGGCACGCGCAGACTAGCAGCTCTCAGACTTGCCGGCCACCTCTTTCAATCTCAGCATCAATTGGTTGACTGGATTGAACAGTTGACCGGTGCATGGTATGAGGTAGGGCGCATGAAGTCGAATCTCATCGCATAAGTCATTGTAAATAATCTAATGCGCTTGACTATCACGGTGCGCTAAAAGTTGTGGTTTAGAATGTTGCCAAATGACGATTCGGCCCAAATCTCGTAGTGATCCCAGTGTGTGTGTTTGCGTGGAGTGGCTGACTGGTAGCATAAGAGTCAGACACGGATAGCTCCTTCCTAGTGTAGCCTCTGTAGCACACTCAAAATGTGGGATCCGGGCCGCCCGCCGTCTTGGTGCGAAATCGTGCCATGTCTACGTAGAGGCCCGGTCATTTATGTGCCACGCACAGACGCGGCCTCTTTTTCTATCAACCACCGAGCCCAATCCATGCGCCGGACAAATGACCGGTTCGGACAGTAGATCGGTAGCTGGTAGAGGGAAGAGAGTGTGTTCGACTGTCTCAGGGCATGTCGCTCACTATAAACAATCCGATGCGCTAAAAGTTGTGGATTGGAATGCTACCAACTGACGAGACATCTCGGTCGTCCTGCCCCCCCCCCCCCCTCCCTTAATTCAGAGAGTCCGGTTGCAATGTCTCCTTAATGTAGCTTTCACGACAATCTCGTTCATGTGAGATCTGAGTAACCCCTTATTGCTTGTGCGCATATTGGGCTTGTGTGACTCAGGTAGATGGTCTGTTCAGCCTTGTCAGTCACTGTGGCCTATCCCGCCTCCGGACTTGTTGAATCTGTTTTGACTTCGCGACCAGAATTCGTAGTTGCTGTACAAATCTACTTCCACAATAATACAATTCAGACGTTACTCAACGTTCTACACTTGCCCTGTTGTGGGGCGCACGGTGGACACCGTCGAAAGCAACAGTCGAAACTCTCATCATCGGAGAAATGCGCGGTGATGGAGCTTGGTCTGCCGTTTTTTTACTGAAGATTCGAACGTATGCACATGTGGCCAAGTAGACCCAGACGGCCGCTGGATGTGCGTGTTCATTGCGGCATTTAAAGCAGATGAAGTAAAGGTATTTTGGTGCTCCGGGTACTGGCTCGCCAGTCACCGTGCGGTGGGTCCACAAGTGACCTACCAAGCCGATGCGCGATGCAAAAATGCGATCGCAATGAGGACAGGTTGGGAGCGAGTCTGAACTGCTGCTCGTGGGGACGTTGTTAATGAGTGTTGGCGGCCGTTAGTGAGGGCTCGGTCGTGTTCTCATCGGTGGTGGGAATGGGCTTGGTCTTAGTCATAGTCACGGGCGTTGTGGCCGTAATGATGGAGGTGTTAACGTGTGCCAGTGGCGGCGGGACGTCGGAAGTTTGTTCACCGTTGGCGGTTGTCGCAGTAGTTGCAAAAGGAGTGACGGTGGAGGCGTTTGTGGTTGTCGTGTCGCTATTGTGTTTGGCCCGAAAATGTACCACGAGGCCGACCCCGCGCGTAATATCCGGTGACAGCATGGTCACTTTGGAAGTGATGGGGTGTTGAGGTTGATGTTCCGCGGCGTTTGTGATTTCCGAGTCTCTCTTTCCCATTTAGCTGCGGCAATGTGATTGGTAACGTTAATTGCTGCTCCAGTCTTCGCGGCTACTTTCCAGACCTGTAGATTTGGAGTGTCCAAATTGACTTGCACGTCCTTGAGGGAGGTCCATTGGGTCTCCTTACCGCGTCAGTGTTGCCCTCTTTATGATGAGCCTCCATAGCGGCATCACCATAGGAAAGTCCCTTTGATAGGCATTCGTTGCCCATCCTTGCGTGCTGGCCGCTCCATCACAGTTTCAGCTGCCTCAGCATGGCGTAGCTGCTGGGAATTCAGGTCCATCCCAGGACTCCTACGTCCGGCATCCTAGCTTGCCACTCAATATTTAATAATCTACGGAGACTGCTGGGGTGGATGCGATTGAGCTTCATGGCTGGTCGACGTAGACGGTGCATGCGTCCACACCACAGAGTAGTTACATCACCTTGAGTTTGGTGTTCAGGTTAAGTCCTCGACGATTCCAGACTGAGGCCTGTACCCGGCCAAGTGTCTGGCTGCGATCTGAGATCCGTTGGACCACTTCGTCATCGATCAAAACATTTCGTAATATTACGTTGCCTAGGTATGCAAATCTGCCCGCAGTAGCGAAATGAGCTCCGTTGACAATGACGGCGGACTCTCTGAAATCCATGTCTGGCGTTAATTTGTGCCTGATGACCGCCCCTGTCAGTCCGGTTTTGAAGTAGCCAGAGTCAAAGTCGCCTATGCTCTTTGCATAACCGCTTCTGTCTTTGTACTGAATGCACAGTCATCCGGGAACAGTAGATCGTGGATTCCGGTCTGGGATACTCTAGAGCGTTCTTGCCTGTGTCGTGCATTGAGCAGCCGTCCGCCGAGCCAGCGTTGATTTCTGGCCGCTCCTCAAGGTAAGGTTTCATCAACATGGTGGAGGGAATGAGGCTGAGGCGGGTGGGAGTGACTACAACAACTCCGCTCCACTCCGCGGGTTGTCGCAAATACTTCCGTGGCCTGAGCCACCATTTCGTCGTGTAGATGGCGAACCATGCGAATGACGCGCTCCAGACATCCGAATTTCAGCATGATCCTCCAGAGTCCATTGCAATTCACTATATCAATAGGTTTCTTTATACCTGCGCAGTTCTTGCCATATTTTTTGTAGTTGAGAACGGCGAAGACCATGTCGGTGATTTCGCGGTGTTAATGCTAATAACGCTGTCGTCACGAACTATGTAGCAGCCCATACCTTACGAGCCTTGCGTGGGAACGAAAATAAGTAAGCACAGTAGATGAGTAAAGTCAATATTCAAGATGTCCAACGACCTGATCCTGAGGTTTGCAGCGATGAAACAACCAGGATAGTCAAGGAAAATGGACGAGAACGTTAAAGGTCAGTTAGTTTGACACCTCGGCACAGTGTCTGAAGCCACACTGGCATTCTGGGAAAAGTCGACGTTGCAGATGGCCACTGGAAAAATTAAGCAGGATGCGAGCGAAGACATCGGTGCCTTAGAACAGCGATATTATTCTGTGATTATCACAGACTCACCGGTCCCCTTAAAGAGACGGACAATTATTGAGGCCATGAAGTCCCAGGGAAGTTCACCTTTCAACCATATTCCTTGCATTATCCAGGGTTTCAATTCCCGTGACGTACCTTCTTTCCTCTCCTTCGTCCTTATTAATGGTTCGTATTACGTGCCGAAAGCCTTAGAAATGTAACATTCCAAGGATAATTGAGTGACGTATATTCATCACTTTCCATCCCGATTTCCAGAATGAAATATTTTTTTTATAAAAGTGCGCATAATTGGTCTGCCCCATTTACTGAATCAAAATGCTACCTGTTTGTGTGGGAGATGGACTTGAAAATGTGTGCAATTCTGTCAGGTCGAAGCTCAATGACTGAATGCTAACTACACCACTGGCGAAAACGTCTTTGCAATATGCCCTGGAAGCATCTATTCCCGTCGTAAATGATTAATTTTGAAAAGATGGCTAAGTTCGTGAAAAAAGTCGACTGCACGTACCTGCATTACGGGCTCAGTCTTCAGTAGTACGGAAGACCGTTTGAATACCAAAAATGTAGCAGAAACCTTCGCAAGTATCACAATGTGACAGGTCTTGTTGCGTGGATCGCCTACATAAAAACATGAAGGGCCCATGGGCGAATTTCGTGAACACAGAGTGGAGGTGTTGACCTTGATAGACGTGTAGATAAGCAGGCGCAGACCTTATTTGCTCTCGTCAACGGGGGGTTTAGGGCGAACTTGGGGGGACAATGCGGGTCTACCAATGTAAAGCATTCGCGTTGTATGCACTTAGGGTCGATATGCGCACGGTCTGTCCCTCACAGACAGTGAAATTTGAGGCAAAAGGCCTGAGCCAAACAGCACACAAATGTGCAAACAAACAATGGAAGGTTGATACAGACTCCGGTAAGCCTCCTTCAGAAAAACGCCACAGAGATCCTTTGAAGTTCAAGCAAATGGGGCGACAATGTAAATCCATCTTTGACTGCTAATGACTTCTGCTCTGAGAAGACAGTGTCAATGAAAGCAGTAGACTGATTATCAAAGATGGCTAAGTTCGGACATATAAAAGCCAGCTTATAGGGTGCCGACCGACTTTTTAAGAAATAGTAGCGCACCCAACCACTGGATTACCATACGGATTATTCAAAGGATATAAAAAAGGACCGTTGGAATTCCAAGTTTAAAAATCCCACACCAGGGCCTGCACAAGCATGAGTAAGACATCTAGGCGCTCACACGGGGACGCGGGCATTCAAAAGCATGGCATTGGAAATGGTCCAAAAAACTTAAAAAATCTACTTAGGTTCAATCGAAGGAACAGATAACGTGGCATAAAAATGGGCCATAATGCTCCAAAAATCCAGGTCAAAAGTGGGCTTGCAACTGCGAGACCCAATACGGGAACGGGGAGGGAGAAATAAAACAAATGGAATTCCAAATGAAGTCCAGAAATACATAGTGCTTTATAAAAGGTGAGACGTTGAAAGGGATAGATTACGTCTGGTTTATTGGAAAAGAGACTTGGCATGTCAGCCAGCTAGCCCTCCCTTAAGTGTATTCCGCGGAAGTGGGTGAGGGGAGGACGCAGTGAAAGTAAAGGGAGGCAGGTTCCCACGATGGATTACTTCCGTTTCTTACTGTGCCGTTGGACGGTTGCCGTTTCCGTTTCCCCTGATCCACTCGCCTCGTTAGTGTTAGGGGACGTCGTCTCTGTGCAGCTATCGTCTAGAACACTATCCTGGTCCGTGTCCTAAAATTGAGAACAAAATCAGGGTCACTATTAGCCACGGGTAATAGTGGTATGAGGGCTCCGAATCCCAGTAGGAAATACGGGCAAGACAGTATAGCTTGGCGGGCATGCAAAAACTTCCTGACACAAGAATAAAGGAAAAGACTTCCAAAAGGGCCACAAGCAAGCACCAACAAGAAAGGCACAACGACGGAAGTAATTGTTGCGGTTAAGCGACCAAGAAGGTACAACCTGGTTGTTAGTGTGACAATTGGGGGAGCCGTGGGAAAAAGGATGATGTTCCAAAAAGAAACGTCTTTTTATGCCTTCTATGTTGCACTTTCTGTATTACAAGCACTGTTTAATAAGCAACCAACACTAAGAACGTATCATTATCAATAACGGTCTACGAATGCTCGTCGACCGAAAAGACGATAAGTGCTAGATGGTGACAGCAGGGATTCAGTGTGACCTTACCAATAACAGGTGGTGACGGAAATCTAGGAGCTCATTTCGCGGCACCTACAACTATGTGCATTTTACGTATTCGCCTACGGACAATATCTATTATAATAGAACTGCAATTCCCAGGCACACGCAAATATTCGATAAGTGGTCACAAAAATACCCCTTCAGGCAGTCATTCTAACTTTTGAAAGAGAAATATGATATTTTTGTGCAGTCTACGTTGGGTTAATATGTAATTTTGAAATGATACAGCGTCAACCGTTTGCGCAATATTACGGCATTCATATGGCCACTCGGTAGTGTGTTTACAATCGCAGAACGTGATCTGAAGGCAAACAAGAAAAAAAGGTAGTTTTGTCCTTTGAGAGGGAATAATTAACCGTATACATCGCGATGGTGCGTAAGTGGGCAAACTGTTACAATTATTTTACTGACTTGGGTAAAAGGTGAAAGACGTGGAAATTCACTGATGAAACACTTTGGTATAGCACCATTTTGGAAGGATACATAATAACAGGTTTTTCGTTTGATCAAGAGCATATTCATCCCTGGCCTTCATCGTGGACATTGTGTAGGTTGAATGCTTAGCTGAGTCTAAAAAATATGACCTGGGCAGCCATCTGCGCAAAGATCGTCCGATAGATAGTTGCTTAAGCAACAGCCTTCACGAAGTGTCTTATTCTGGAGACTTGGTTAAACACAAACTACAGAAACCATCTTTTGGCAATTGATTAAGAACACTGACGACAGCAAAGTACTCACTGACACTTAAAGGAGGACGGAAAATTCAGCTTAATCTGTCGTCCTCAGACATTACAAACGAATCATACGAAGGAAAATGCCCCTGATACGCAAAAGATCGTGTTTATGGTAGTATCTGCTAACTGTATTTCAAATGCCTAGCCAATAGCATGTGGCCTCAGCAAAACCTTTATGGCAGTGATGTCCCTATCTGTGAACTAGAGAGCAATTCCTTTTGCCTCAGTCAACCGCATCTCCATAGTACAAAAACTGAAAAACTGGATAGAAGTCTCGTGACACAGCTTTGAAAAATATAATGAAGCGTCAAGCAGGTGACCAGATATCATGCTGAATATAACACCAATTCAAGCATCGTTTTAGAAAAAAAATGCTTAATAAAACCCAAAACGTTTTCTTTGAGGCTACGTTACGCGCATGTGAAGCGTTCGTAGATTGCACGGCGCCAAAACTGACAAGCCAATAGTAATAAATTAAGGTGACACCTTTTCAGATGCTCAATGCTGTAAAACAGAAAGCAGCATTCTGCCGCCGTTAACTGTCATG